AATTTCTCCTGCCAGATACCCTAAATTGTCTCTCTCAAGTTCAAGTTCCACAAATCTCTAGTGCAGGGGCAAAATGCTTCCAGTCTCTTTGCTAAAACATAACAAGAGTCACCTTTGCTCCAGTTCCCAACAAGTTCTTTATTTCCATCTGAGACTATCTCATCTTGGACTTTGTTGTCCATAACACTACCAGCATTTTGGGCAAAGCCATTCAACAAGTCTAGGAAGTTCCCAACTTTCTCACATTTTCCTGTCTTCTTCTGAGCCCTTCAGACTGTTCCATCCTCTGCCTATTATCCTGTTCCAAAGTCACTTCCACATTTTGGGGTATCTTTTCAGCAGTACCCCACTCTACTTACATCAACTTACTGTATTAGTCCATTTTCACGCAGCTGATAAAGACGTACCCAAGAATGAGTAATTTACAAAGAAAGACATTTAGTGGATTTACAGTTCCACGTGACTGGGGAGGCCTCACAATCACGGCAAAGGTGAAAGGCACATCTCACGTGGCAGCAGACAAGAGTAGAGAGTTTGTGCAGGAAAACTCCATTTTTAAAACCATCAAATCACGTGCAACTTATCCATTATCACAAGAACAGCACTGAAAAGACTTGCCCCCACGATTCAGTCACCTCCCATCAGGTCCCTCCCACAACACATGGGAATTTAAGATGAGATTTGGGTGGAGACACAGCCAAACCATATCAGAGAGTGTGAAATAAATCTATTATATATACAAATTTTGCTAGCAGTAAGCATTATTTTTCTAAACATTAAGAGAAAGATTCATTCTGTATAAAATGGAGTCAAAGACAAAAATCACGTTAGAGATTTATCTCACCCAGTATATACACACACACATGCACATACATACAAGTTACGCAGATTAATTAAAACATTAAATATAAATACACACATAAACATCTGGAATAAACTATAGAAGAGTACTTACAGAAACTTTACATAAGCAATATCTTCTGGAGGAAGAAAAAAATAAAAAACAATGATAAATTTGTCTACAAAAATATTTAAGATCTTATGCTTGTATACATCATTAAAATGTCAAACTCAAAGTGGCCTGAAGAGAAACAAGAAAAACATTAGTGAATGATTAATATCCATAATATAAACTGTTCCTAGAAAAGATAAGAAATAAAAATCAATTTAAAAACTAGTAACAAATAAGCCAAAGAAGAAAACATAAAATCAGTTTGACAATTTATTCTTTTAACTTTTATTTTAGAATCAGGGAGTTACATGTGCAGATTTATTACAAATGTATACTATGTGATGCTGAGGTTTGGAGTACAAATGATTTCATCACCCAGGTAGTGAGCATAGTACCCAAAAGTTAGTTTATTTCCACCCTTAATCCCCCTCCCAACTCTTGTATTCCTCAGTGTCTATTGTTACCATTCTTATGACCATTTATAAGTGACGATATGTGGTATTTGGTTTTCTGTTTCTGTGTTTGTTGACTTAGGATAATGTTTTCCAGCTGCATCCATGTTGCTGCAAAGAACATGATTTCATCATTTTTAATGGCTGCATAGTATTCCATAGTGTATATGTACCCCATAGTGTATATGTACCACTTTTTTTTTTTTAATTCCAATCTGCCATTGGTGGGCACCTGGGTTGATTCCATGCCTTTTCTATTGTAAATAGTGACAAACATATGGGTACATGTATCTTTCTGGTAGAATGATTTACTTGCCTTTGGATATACGCCTGGTAACAAGATTGCTGGATCAAATGGTAATTCAACTCTCAATTCTTTGAGAGATCATCAAACTGCCAGTGAAAAAATGCTAATCACCACTAATCATCAGAGAAATGCAAATCAAAACTGCACTGAGATACCATTTCACACCAGTCAGAATGACTTTTGTTAAAAAGTCAAAAAATAACAAATGTTGGTGAGGCTGCTGAGAAAAGGGAACACTTATACACTGTTGATGGGAATGTAAATTAGTTTGACAATTTTTGAAACACACACACAGATGGACACACACACATATCCTGTAGGAATATTGCTTAAGAGCAGATGCAAATAAATTAATTTGTTAATTTGTAATGACATCATTACAGTATTGAGACATCCAACACAGCATATCATTTCACTGAAAAAAAAACAAAGTTTTCTGGACATTAAAATCTCTAGCTTTCTTCAATTGAAGACTGATTTTGATTATTCAAAATGTCCCTTCAATAACATAAAAGAAAAGCATAAAACAAAAAGACAGAAGGAGAGAGAGTAAAAAGTAGAGAACAGAAGGAAGGGAAGGGAAGGGAAGGCAAAGGTAGAGGGAGGAAGTGGGAGGAAAGGAAAGAGTGAGGGAGGGAAGGAAGAAGGGAAATAAGAAAAAGAAAAAAGAAAGTGAGAAAGAAGGAAGGGGGAAGGAAGGAAGGAAGAGGGAAGGAAGGAAAGAAGGAAGGAAGGAAGGAAGGAGTGAAGGAACGAAGGAGGAGGGAGGGAGGCAAGGAAAGGAGAAAGGAAGGAAGAAGGAAGGAAGGAAGGAAGGGAAGGACGGAAAGATGGGAGAGAACAAAAGTGAGTAAACCTAGTTATATTTTGAGGAAATATATGAGTTTCAAGGCCTAGTACAAAACCTAATGTTGGGAGAAGAGGAATAATTGTTCAAGAAAATTATCAGAAAGGAATAAAAATTGAATTTCTATCCTCTAGAGCATTAATTTATAGAAGAAACAATTTACACCTAAATGTTTGTAGAGCATTCTTGGAATTAGAAATCCTATAACCACTTTGTTTTTCTAATATGAAAAAAAGAGAGGAAAAATACCTTTTGGAGATGCAAAACTCTGAATGTATACTATCTCCATATTTCTCCCTCTTTACTCTCCCATGTGAATTCAAAAGTATAGCTTAGATGACCAGAAGAAAAATCAAAATGATTTAAGAGTTTAATAGTACTGTTTTGAGCATTAAAAAGCAGGCTAATCAGATAACTAAGTCTAAATAATTGTAAATATGTACTAGTTATACATTTTTAATTCTAAATTTAAAACTATAATGTAAACAATAACTATAATAAACTGGGTTTATAAACTAAATATATTGAGTGATGGTTGGGGAGAAAGTTGAAACTTACCAATTAATTCTTTTAAAGAGAAGACCTCAATAGATATAATTTGATTTATCAGGTAGAGCCCTGGGAAACATCTACATGTAGTGCATAGCAGAGAAGAGTAACTCGGTAAAGGAAACTGAGAAGGGGCAGGCAGATAGGAGGAGAGGATGACATCCTGCAATCCAAGAGACGGGTGAGGTTTCCAACAAGGGTTTGGCAGTGCCTAAAAGGTGAAAGACCAAATAAGAAAACGAAGTGAAAATTATACACTTGTTAATTATTATTAGTGACTTTACCAAAATAGAAGCAGATTAATAGATTGCAGTATCTGGGGAGAAAGAGAAAATAGATAGCACTTCCAAAAACTTGAATTTTAAAGAGTAAGAGAAAGAGTGTGCTAAATAAAAGGAACTAGAATTTGAGAGCTGTTGTTTGCTTCTCTGTTTTCATGAAGCAGAATTTTCTACCCTTGTGTAAAACAATACCAAGACCAGACTGTACCAAAGAAAACAATATTGATGACAAGGAATAATAAACTCAGCCGCTTCCTCCTGTGAGAGATGACTCTGAATCATCTAAAATAATTTATCTATTAAGACTAATACCTTGCCCAAAACTTGCTTTAATATTTGACTTGCATTGCTCACCAATCCAGTCATAAACTTTGCCCAGTTCCAACCAGTTTTCTACTTTTGAAATCCACTGCAAAAACATTCAGCCTAGGCCCTAAAACTCTATGAATACATACCTTACCTATCCTCATTCAGACACTGTGAAGATTCTGTCAAGGTAGTATTCCTAATAAGCTCAGCTTGACCTAAACAACTTTTTGGAGGTCGTAAGGAAGTAGTAGACGACAATTTGTTAAAGCTAAGAGTTGTTTGAATATGTTTAAATCTTCATAGGAAAATTTGGTAGATTCAAAATCATGGTAGACACAATCAGAAGAGTAACCCACACAGGTGGGAAGGAATAGGAGCAGCATGCAGAGGTAATGTTGTGGATTTAACCACAGTTAGGACAAGAGGCTTCTATACCACTGTAGCAAGAGAGGAGGGGCAAACAAAGGCAGATGTAAGTAATCAGATATGCCTGGCTGAGATAGGTAAAGGGAGAGTCAAGGAGCTAGCAGGTGTTCTGGTTTCTAGGTCACATAACTGCCTCTGTGATCCAAAGTCAGGACACTGCAGCCACCACACCCATGAAACTAATGACCCAACAGTGGAAGAGCTCCTGCCAACACTCACTCCTACCAGAGGCTGTTTTTCTATCAACACTGCCCCAATCAGATGGCATTGACTTTCCTTGTTTTTTCCTTCTATATTAGCATAAATCAAATTCACATCCAGAATGTTAATTACAAGGGAATCTTGAGAGTGTGTTGTTTGCTTTCCAAATTGTCCAAATAGAAGGAAAGTGAAATAAAATGGGGAAAAAGGTCCAAACCAAGTATTAAGCACAGTTGATTCCTTAATGCAAACTCATCCTTGCCTCTATGATATGAATCCACATTAGTAATGCACTAAAATTTATTCAGGCATTTGTATCAGTAACCATACATGAGACTGATCTATAATTATCTTTTATTATTCTCTGTTAGATTTGCGTATCAGTGTTATGATGCTTTCAACATAATATGAAAGTATCCAATTTTCTTCTGTGCTCTGGAATATATTAGATAACTTTAGATTATCCATTTATTAAGGTGTAATAGAATTCATCCACAGATTCAATTGGGCCTAGTGCTATTTTAGAAGGTAGTGTTTTACAATTTCATGTTTGTTTTAATGGCAATGGTCAGTAAAATTTTGTAGCACTCTGAGCTCAAACATAGTAAATTATAATTTTAAAATCAATTTTATTCAGTTTTACAATATATTTTACTAGATTTGAACAGCTGTATTATTTCCTCAACGAGGGTTTAAATATTCTATGTTCTATTTTCTACAATAATCACCATATTTGCTTTATTCCCAGCCATTTGTGGTTGGTTTCAATGCTATGCCACCAGCCCCTTTGCCTTAGTTTCTCTATTCGTTTCTTATTTGGATGGACTACATCTACCAATAGTTTCTTCAACAATGGTTAATAGAAACAATATTGTATGAATACTTGCATGTTCAAAATTGTTTGTTTTCCTTATATTGAAGGGCAGTTTAGCTGGGTATAGAGCTGTTTAGGCATATTTTATTTTCCAAAGTCATTTCAGGCATTGATCCACAGATTTCAGGCATTAATAATGACTAATAAGAGGCTTGGGAGCCAATCTGATATTTTTTTCTGCATAAGCGCCATGAGAACATGGTCTTTTATCTGTTCTGTTCACCATTCTTTCCACAACAACTGGAATAATGACTAACACAGAGTAAGCAGTCAACAAATATTTGCTGACTGATAGAGTAAGGGAATTGACATTTTTGCTTGAATATCTGAAGGACTTTATTTTTGTAGTCCGGTAAGTTCACTAGACTGTATCTCTAGTTGAGTTTTTCCAAAGACATGGTGCTTCTTTTACTGCAGGGAGGGGTACTTACTATTACTGTGGCTCTCCTTTTTCTTCCTTTCCTAGTGATGATATCCTTGACAATCTTTTGAACTCATTCCCTTCCACTTTATTTTACTTTTTATCAAACATGTCCTCCAGGTGCCTTACTTTGCTTTTATCAATGGTCTTTCTCCTTTTCTGCCTTCTTCAAATGAGGCCTTACTTCTTTAACAGTTTTATTTTTCTCCTTTTTTTCCCAAGCTTAACAGATCATATGTCATCTACTTGCATTAACTTGCAAGTTATGTCTGATACCTTATTATGTTTGTATTATAAGAAAAAAAGCAAATGGGTAAGTGGAGGCAGGTGGTTAGTTTGGGGTTATCTGTAGCCATCTGAGTTTATTAGTTTGGGACATTAATTCTGAAAACACTACAAAAGCTCAAGTATAAATCTTTAAAATACAAATTCTGTTTAACTAGGCATTCTGTGTTACTAAAATATTCACTACTGTCTTATTGGTTCTGTTTCTACTTTTTTAAAAAACAATGGGAAATTTTCAGAGAATAATTTGGGACTATGCAGTGTTTGGAAAATGGTTATCTTTAGTAGCATGTTATACTTTTATAAATTTATTAGCATTTCATTTTCATGTGCACTATATATAGTTAATATTTATAGGTGTGATAAAAATACATATCTAAATGAGGCATGTTATATCAGTATATACTCAAGCCTACACAACTCAAAAAAGTAAGGAAAAAAAAAATTCCTTTGAGTGTACTTACACTTCTGTGTGCATGGCATTGGCTCTAAAATGTTTTTCACTTTTATATAAAGAGACTCTTTATGTTAATTTTCCCCAACATATTCATATTTTCCTGCTTTCTGTAATGAGTTTTAAACCAAGTGATAAGTATTAACAAGTTTTTTTTTTTTTTTTTTTTTTAACTTTTCTAGAATGACTTTCCTGGATATAATAGGATTTCACATAGCACCAAGTTAATTTTTACTTTATTTTTTATAGGAGGTTCATCCATGTTAGTCAGTATTCCAGAACTCATTTTAGAGATCTACATCAATGTATGCAACAGCTTAGTCAATATCTTCACTTAAATGTTTCAAAGGCAGGTCCACTGCACTTTAGAGATTCAATCAAACAATGCAAAAGCCAATTCAAATGCAATTTAAAAACCAAACTTATAGTTTCTCTTCCTTAAGCTTTGTCATTTTTCAGATATTTTTTAATATCAATAAATGGTACCACTGCACAGCCAGTTGCACAATCTAGTAACTTAAATGTTGTCCTTAGCAATTTCTCCTTGCCATATAACTCATACTCATTTCAGTTTATCCTTCTTCCCCTCATGACTGATCTCTGTGCTGTGACCGTTTAACCTCTCATATTTCACTACCTTCATTTGCACCAGAAACAACCCTATTTGAGCCACAATCATCTACCATATTACTACTGATGCTCTCTATTGGGACATTGCAATGTCCTAGTTCTGATCTCCCTTCTTACCCATCCCTCCTACATTTCATTCTGCACGTGGCAACAAGAGAGAACCAAAATTTAACATAAATTGGATTACATCAATCTCTGGTTAATGACATGCACTGACTTTCTTTTGCTCTCAATTTAAAGAATAAAGGCTTTTTATTTTCTTTATAAACTATGTATGATCCATCATTACCCACCTCTCTGTTTGCATCCTATCTCATTTTCCCTACTACGTTATAAGCTTTCAAGTTGTCAACATGGGACATATGAAGTTTCTTATTTGTCAGGATATAGTGATTCTTCTGTCTGGCTCCTTCTAGACTGTAAATTCCCTAATGGAATGTCTGTCTTCTGCATATCATTATGTACTTAACACCCAGCACAAGGCCAGGGTGCAGTTCATACCAAATTAAGACAGGTTGAGTGAATAATGAATATGAGTGCATCTTCTCAACCAATAAAGTAGTGATTAATTTGGTCCATCGAAATTTTAATCAAAGCCCATTTTATTTTCATAGGAATTTAATTGAGATATTGGAAAACAATTAAATAATGTAATCGTTCAGTTTTTACCTGCATTCGTCATACACATCATTTAAACATTTTATTGAGTAAACTGTTTTTCAAAGATTAAAAAACTGTTATTTCTGATCAACATGTATTGAAACCCAAGTATTCTCACTCCTGACGGCTCTGTACTCAATGATATCCCTAAACATAGACTTCGTATTTAACACTAAAAGTTTAAAGTATTTCTTTAATTTGCAAAATTATTATTTCTTTAAACAAGCTATTGTTGAGACACAAAGCTATAAAGTTGGGATATTGTTACCACTGGGATTATAATACTGAAGTGTGTGTGAGATTTTGACAAAGGTGATATTTCATGCTGAACCACAAACTATGTTACTAGGTCCCACTTGAAGGCAGCATCTTGTATAATATTTGCAGGTCAGCTTTCTGGGTTTGGTTTGCACACTGACTCAGGCTTATGGATAAAAATGACTTCCCAATGTGGGAGAGCATAACAGAAAACATTTTTTATTAATATGCTCTAACAAATTGAATTAACTGAATCTCATGCCTCATCTCTCTTTTTCTAATCAATTTTAGATTTATTTCTTGCAGAATATTAGAATGTGTTTTCTCAAGTTCATGCATAGATCTTGATGAAGAACTTGGACTTCAGGGTCAGAGAGAACTTGATCTAAATCCTGATAATATCATTTAACAGGTTTATGAGTTCAGGAAGGTCACATAACCTTCTAAACCTACATTTCTTCATCTATGTAATAAAGATGATTGATAATAGTACCATTGTAGAAATAAACTGAATAAATATTAGCCATTATACTACTATTTATTTGACAATGCAACTTTCATAAGTAGTTTCCCTATAGATGTTGCAAATAAAATCAAACAACTCATGCTCCTAGAATTCAGTCAATGGATTCTGCTATATGCTCATGTCTACTCATGTCTACACAAAACTACTGAAAACAAATTTGATTCCAAAGTTGCAATTCGAAACAGAAAACACACTTTGCTATGCACATGACAATGCAAGGTATGTCTTTTCACAAACCCACCTTCAGATGTGCTTAGCTTTTATAATACAGATCCAAATTAGTGTAGATTGTGTTCCAAGATAGACTTCATAGACAACATGACATCACACAATTGCAGTAGGTGGCTCTTAAGAAAATCAAGCCCAAATAAAATGTATTTCATTATGGGGTTATGCCTGTAACGCAAAATGTGTTTTAGGAAAGACTAAGTCTTGATGTATTTACTTCTGCATTTGGCCCTTTTCTTTCTCAATTTCAAACCAGATCCAGGTGGGAATATCAAAAGCTAGTGCCCATCCTATGTGTACACCTTGTGTGAGAGCATACAAAGATTTCTTTTTTTTTCTTGAGTGAATAAACTGGTCTTATCCAACATCTCTTCCACAATACATGTATGCATTTTTAAAAAGGGAAGACAAAACCTGACTGCATAGCATAATTATAAGTGGTAATACTTACATTTTCATCCTATTTTGCAGTAAATAAGCCTGTCAAAAATGGGGTTTAGTTTTGTGGTGTGCCTCCCTTCTGTACTGATACAATTTGTTTTGATCCTCTGCTGATGAGGATGGCTTTAGATAGCCATGAGCATCAGTCTGAAACAAAAATTAAAAGTCAGTATATTACATTTCTCCTTCTGTTCTTTCTGCATATTACATTGTTCCATAAGCTCATTGGTGCTGGAATTCTCTCTCTCCTTTGGCACAATTTTCCTCTGTGGTATGATGCTATGAATATTTATGGTACAATAAAAATAATATAATAATGGGCATTTTCTAGACTTGTGCTGCATATATCTTCAAACAGAAGCTGGGAGGGCTATATCTGTTACCTCCCACTAGAGCAGATCTTTATGTCCTGTGGAATAGCTGACTGTCTCAAAGACCTTCACTTCCATGTGAGTTAAATGGCTTCCATACTGAAAAATTCTAAGAGAATTTTTCTCCTTCTGTATATAGTTTTGACTATCATCATCTCTGAAACACTGCCAGATTTTTCTTACAATGAGTAGGCTTCAATTGATATCCTTATTCATCCTTCCTATGTCAACTACTACAATTCATTCTTTTATAGCCACCTTAAATCTTTAGGCTCTAAAATTCCTGGGTCCAGAATGCTCTGAGTAGACTATTATCTTGCTCAGTGAAGCGGGACTGCTTCACCCTCACTCCTCCTCCATCACCTTAACTGACTAGATTTCTTTTCATTTATAAATTTAACTCAAATTGTTTTCTTTTTTTCAAATATACTTTAGACTTTCTCATTGCAGCCCATTTCCTTAGCCAGCTATCTGCTTAGCTACACATAATGCTCCTAATTCTTTCTTTTAAAATTGCCACATATCAGTCTCCCATTTATTCTCTACAGTCATAATTCTTATCTATTATATTAATATGATTAGAATTCATTCCATTTACTGTTAATGATCACTGAAAAAGTAGAGTTTTTTTTTCTGTGAACTATTTTTAAAACTCTAAGGTTCCCACCAAATGAACATCTTGATATTTCATTGTAAAATTTGGGGGAATACTTTTAAAGCTGTAAGATACCCACAAAATACTTCAGTTTTTGCTCTCTCTCTCTCTGTGTGTGTGTGTGTGTGTGTGTGTGTGTGAGAGAGAGAGAGAGAGAGAGAGAGAGAGAGATGCAGAGATGGGAGAAAGAGAGAGAGAGAATGCTTTTAATATAAATATATTTTGACAGGGTAATGTTGTGGAGAGACAATTCTCCTTGAGTCTCCTACATTTCTTCATGTCTTATAAGCAGAGGCACTGTCGAACTTTTCTCAGGATTATTATTTCAAAAATGTTAGTATAGTAAACAGCCTAAGTAGGTAGAGAGAGTGTTTTTATCTGAAGCAAAGGTCAGTTCTCTCTTTTTTTTCTATTTGCTCTATTTTTCTTACTGTTCAATATAGTAAAAACATGTTTCTCTTTGTGTAAAAATCAGAGATGCTTTCTGCCCACTCTGGAAGATTTGATTTCCCTAACTCATGCTTCCTCTCCTGTAGGGTAACTTATTGCATGTAAAGATGTCACCTGAACCTTGCTGTGCTATCCTATGGAAACTGGAGCTTGGAGAACCAGTATAAATACTAATGTACTGGCTATTATAACCTCTGTAAATAATAAAGCCCTTTGTTTCTTATCCAAGGCTTTATTACTTTTTTTTCTTTTCTCTGAGTATCCATGAAAGATTGACAGCATAACTTGCTAGTTGAGAAAGATCAAAACCCTTTGGTTTTCCTGGGAATTTGGTGGTAAAAATGGGATGCTGACATAGGCATGTTCTCTGTTTGCAAAAAGAAAGATTAGGAAGGATTAGTCTTTGGGCCAACTAATAGGAATAGAGGGAGGTTCATATATGGTCACTGCATGGTCACAGTGTCCTTCACTTCATCGACTTTTAATTAAAGTGAGTTGAATAGATAGTTTCAGACAAAGCATTGGGAAGTAGGTACAAAGACAACTACCCTGCTAATTTTTATGTGAGTGGATGAAGAGAATGCCCCTATGTGGTGATAATCATCACCTCTGCAGCTTTGTAATAACTAGTAGTAAGATTGTCCTGGGGTTTGACAATAGAAAGTTCTGTCACCTTTCAGACAACAGAGATGCACTGGGGAAGAATTGAGGGAAATTTATTACCACTATGTGCAGAAATCAGGCAAACCATTAAAATTGTGTCTGGTTCACTTGGGAAATGAAGGAGTGGGGCATATAATGCTACTAAGGAGGAATAACAACAGATGAGTGTTTTATGGCTTAGTCTCTCCTGTAGTCTAGACTGTCAAACCTAGAACCTTTCAGGGTTTTGTCGTCGTTGCTATTGTTGTTGTGTGTCCTGACTTCTATGTGGGAACTTTGGCTCTCTGAGGAAGATTTCCGAAACAAAGGCAGACTCCTTGGGAAAACAACAGGTGAGGCATTAGCTACTATTTACTGCATGCACTGGATGGACTTTACAGTGACAATGAAAGTGATCCACTAAGGAATGGGAAAAACACCCAAATAAATCTAGATAAATTCTTGCGGGAAGCCATGCCACCTTGGAAAATTATCCTAGGCCTTATGTTGAAACTATACAATCTTGATCTTAAGAGATGTTATTTCTTAAGATATTAAGAGATGTTATTTTGGCAATGGTACTGCAAATGTTCTAGAGTAAGGTGGACTCTAAAGAAAAAGACACCACTCTGTACATCAAATCTAAATAATCCAAAGGAAATAAATTCCACAGCTCCAAACAGAAAACAATGTGGTAACTGAAAACAATGTGGCTGTTGAATCAAGGGGTCCACAAAGCTAAAATAGATGGTGTCAGTAAGGATGATGTTGCTGCTAATACAGGGCATTGGGTGGACTAAAAACATCGGAAGTTCATTTGGTTGAGTTATATGTGGTCACCATTCTGCTCACAGTTGAAGATAAATATGTCATGCCCTCTGATTCTTCCTTTTCCACAACCACATTCTCAGCCTCTTTATGAACAAATATGATTTTGGGGTAAGTTCTATGCATTCCTGTGCAAAAGAAAGACCAGAGGCCATATGTGCCTGTCTCGGTATGCTAGGTAACTTGGGGGAAGGCAGGAACTCAAACTTACACGGCTCTCTTGGGGAAAGGTGCCCAACTCAGCATCTTGTTGGGGTTCTGTGTGTATAGAGATGCTCCAATTCAGTTAACGAGATTTTTGGGCTGGGTATACAGTGGGGAAGAGCAGCTAATACGGCCTTGTGGATACCACCGTTTGGGCAAATTTAATGTATAGTTGTGGTTTTCACTTTCAAATTCACTGTATAATGATATTAATGGTTTATATATGGATACTATACATTCTTATAAAATCCTTACTGAATTATACCATTCAGAAAGTGCTATACGGAGAGAAGGACTAGTAGGACATGGAACTCATTTCCCAATTAATCTGTCTATCCTCTTCAGGATAGTCTGACAGAAAAAATATATAATCCAAGGAAGGTACATGTAAGTCACAACCTTTATTAAGGTCTTAAAGGAAGCAAAGATAGTAAGACTTGCAAAATTTAACAATCCCACATGGGCAATGCAAAAGACAGTGGGAGATGGGGGCTCACAGGTTGTTGATAATTGCAAAATTTATATCCAGTCATTGCTGCTACAGCCTCAAAAGCCATTGCACAGACTGAAGACACTTGGTATGTTATGTTGAATATTGCCAACACTTTCTTTTCTATCCCACTGGCACCCAAGGACAAAGACCAATGTGCCTTCATGCAGGAAGGCCTGCATGAAGGCATGGAAATATACATTTGCAGTACTCTAAAAGAGGCACCTTGCCATTTGCTATCAGGGAGTGGGCCAGAATAACATTAATGTCTCCATAATCTGATGTCTGAAGTTTTCACTAAACAGATGATATCCTGCTGGTTACTAGTCAGAATTCTCAGTGTCCAAGGCCCTGATTGTTGTAATATTACATTTCTACTAACAAGGGTGGCTACTGAGGTTTAATACTTCAATAAAATGTAGGGACCTGCTAGCCAAGGAGTATTAATATTTTGGCCCTATATGAGTGCATACTAAGGCTCTCAATCCTATTGGCTGTCAAGAAAAAAAAATAAAACCTACTGTGTCTTTGCCACATCATCTCCAAAAAGAGATCCAGCAATTTATTGAACTCTTTCGATACTGGAGATAGTACATGCCTCAAGTAGCATTCTGCCTGGAAAATGATACTAACTAGTCCACAGATAAGCATCCATTGAGTGGGGCCCAGACCAAAAGCTTATGTTTAAAATTGCCCAGTGAGCTTTGCATGTTTTCTACACAACTGATCTCTTTGAACTATAATTCTCTGTGGCTAATGATTTTGATGATTGGAGTGTTTGGAAAAGCGAAGCACCCCTATACCCACAGGAGTCCCTTGGGTTTTGGATTCATCACCTTGGTGGCACAGGTGCAAAGTACATATCTTTTGAAAAACAGCACTTAGTTTGGCATGGGACACTAGTCAAAACCAAATACCTGATCCATGAAGGTTTTGTGACTTTCCAGCTTAATGTTACCATTTGGGATTGGATTAACTTGGATTCAGTGATGAACAATGACTGACAAGGAAGGGTTCGACAAACCTCATTTGTCAGATGAAGGTAATACATTCAAGAATGCTATTGGTTTGGACCCAGTGGCATCTTTGCCTTTCATTTTCAAAAGAGGTTAGTATCTCTTTGAGGAAATCTTTATCCTTCACTCTGCCAGCTGAAGCAAAGTGCTGTCATAATGAGGTCCTTGCTTCACAGAGGTTCCCCTAAATCCCTGGGCCTGATTCACTGAAGGCTCATCTCAGTAGGAACCTGACGGTGTCCTCTGGACTGCTACAGCTGTTTGACTGCAATACCAACTATTCAGACTGAACATGGACATTGTTCCTCAATTCATGAGGATAATATTCCCTTTGAAGAACCTTATTTTATGTTTGCTGTCTCTTGAGCTTTTACTAATGGTCTAAACTACTTGTTCTCCTACCTGGTAAATTGCAGACTGACAGACTTGAGAAGCCTCTCTTTAGGACCACAAACTGTGGTAACAAATCACCCTGCTGATAGAACCATCTG